AGTCAGTCGTCAAGTCAGTCGTAAGTATGCAAGTCAGCCCGTCAAGTCAGTCGGTCACAGTCGGTCAAGTCAGCGGTTTCAAGTCAGTCGGTCGTCCAGTCGGGTCCGTTCCAGTCGTCGTCGGTCCAGTCGGTCGGTCGGTCTCAGTCGGTCGTCGGTCCAGTCGGGTCGGTCGGTCCAGTCGGTCGGTCATCGGTCGGTCACAGTCGGTCGGTCGGTCCAGTCGCGGTCGGTCGGTCCAGTCGGTCGGTCGGTCCAGTCGGTCGGTCGGTCCAGTCGGTCGGTCGGTCCAGTCGGTCGGTCGGTCCAGTCGGTCGGTCGGTCGTCCAGTCGGTCGTCGTCGGTCGGCAGTCAGTCGGTCGGTCGGTCCAGTCAGTCGGTCGGTCGGTCCAGTCAGTCGGTCGGTCGGTCCAGTCAGTCGGTCGGTCGGTCCAGTCAGTCGGTCGGTCGGTCCAGTCAGTCGGTCGGTCGGTCCAGTCAGTCGGTCGGTCGGTCCATATGGGTCGTCGGTCCTAGTCGGTCGGTCCAGTCAGTCGGTCGGTCGGTCCAGTCAGTCGGTCGGTCGGTCCAGTCAGTCGGTCGGTCGGTCCAGTCAGTCGGTCGGTCGGTCCAGTCAGTCGGTCGGTCGGTCCAGTCAGTCGGTCGGTCGGTCCAGTCAGTCGGTCGGTCGGTCCAGTCGGTCGGTCGGTCCAGTCGGTCGGTCGGGTCGGTCTCAGTCAGTCGGTCGGTCGGTCCAGTCAGTCGGTCGGTCGGTCCAGTCGTCGGTCAGTCGTGGGTGTCGGTCCAGTCGGTCCGGTCCAGTCACGTCGTCTCAGTCGTCGGTCGGTCCAGTCAGTCGGTCGGTCCAGTCAGTCGGTCGGGTCACGTCGTCAGTCAGTCGGTCGGTCCAGTCAGTCGGTCGGTCCAGTCAGTCGGTCGGTCCAGTCAGTCGGTCGGTCCAGTCAGTCGGTCGGTCCAGTCAGTCGGTCGGTCCAGTCAGTCGGTCGGTCAAGTCAGTCGGTCGGTCAAGTCAGTCGGTCGGTCAAGTCAGTCGGTCGGTCAAGTCAGTCGGTCGGTCAAGTCAGTCGGTCGGTCGGTCAAGTAAGTCAGTCGGTCAAGTCAGTCGGTCAAGTCAATAAGTCAGTCGGTCAAGTCAGTAAGTCATTCGGTCAAGTCATTTAGTAAGTCAGCAACACTGGTAGGCCTACTGGGTGTCATGGTTGCTTGGCAGATACAAGATATAGTATGCTTCCCATACTTTCCATTATAATTATACATACTAACCAGCCTATGTGAGTGTTTTTACCCCATCCACGTTATCGAACTCACATTACAATGATAATTAAAAGATCAATACACAATTCACAAACACAGCTAGCTTATAGGAGAGAAGTGGAACTGAACACACATTCACGAAGCTAGTATGGTGGTGGTGGGAGTGTTGGGGGATGGCGGGAGGCCTACCCCGCTGACCCACAACAAGGCGGCCGCTTGAGGTAGGGAATTGCCGCCATTACTCGTCACATAATGACATTTTATTAATTCTACAGTATATATCAGGTTCCTATGTTATTTATATTGTTTATTATGTCATATTAGATAAATTATTAGATAAATAAACAGTAGAGTTGATATTAGCATCATATTGAAGTATTTTTGTCCAGCAGGAATTTCGCTGGAACGGATTAATGGCATTTCAATTAATTTAAATGAGGAAATTTGACTCGGCATACGAGCAGATTGGGATACGAGCAAGGTCACGGAACGGATTAAACTCATAATCCGAGGTTCCACTGTGCATGTATGTATTGTGAAGGCAATGTTAACCAAGAGTATCTCATTTGGAATGTATACAGTAGTCCCCCCAAATTCAAGGGGGTTACGTTCCAAGACCACCTGCGAATTTGGAAAACCCGCGAATTCTGGACGCAGTTAAACAAATGCCTATAAATGCCTGTTTTTATACTTTAAACCCTAAATATACCCCCAAAACAATTTAATTTCAAACGGCTTCATACATCACACTAAAAAAAAAAAAAAGAATGTAAAGATAAACCCGTATACAGTACTGTAGTGCTGTCTCCCTCAGTGCTAGAATGTAAAATACCGGTTACCCCCTTATTTTTTATTTTTTATTATCACACTGGCCGATTCCCACCAAGGCAGGGTGGCCCGAAAAAGAAAAACTTTCACCATCATTCACTCCATCACTGTCTTGCCAGAAGGGTGCCTTACACTACAGTTTTTAAACTGCAACATTAACACCCCTCCTTCAGAGTGCAGGCACTGTACTTCCCATCTCCATGACTCAAGTCCGGCCTGCCGGTTTCCCTGAACCCCTTCATAAATGTTACTTTGCTCACACTCCAACAGCACGTCAAGTATTAAAAACCATTTGTCTCCATTCACTCCTATCAAACACGCTCACGCATGCCTGCTGGAAGTCCAAGCCCCTCGCACACAAAACCTCCTTTACCCCCTCCCTCCAACCCTTCCTAGGCCGACCCCTACCCCGCCTTCC